GAGTGAAGATACAACCCACAGAATGGGAGAAAATATTGCAATCTTGCATCATACAAGGGATTAATAGCCAGAATATATAAGGAGCTCAAACAACTCAATAGCAAAAAACAAACAAACAAACAAAAAAATCAAATTAAAAAATGGTCAAGAGCTCTGAATAGACATTTCTCAAAAGAAGACATACAAATGGTCAACAAATATATGAAAAAATACTCAACATCAGTAATCAGAGAAATGTAAGTTGGTGCAAAAGTAATTGTGGTTTTAGCATTGTTGAAATGTGCCATCTGATATTGGAATATATTTTTAAATAAATGTGGTTATGTCATACATCATTTTAACGCATATTTCTCTTTTTTTTGCTAATGACTTATTACTTGGTATTTATTTTATGTTTATTTTAGGTTATGGAAATGATGGTAGACAAAAAGCAAATTCGAGCGATCTTCTTATTTGACTTCAAAATGGGTGGTAAAGCAGCGGAGACAACTGGCAACATCAACAATGCATTTGGTCTGGGAACTGCTAACAAACGTCCAGTGCACTGGTGGTTCGAGAAGTTTCACAAAGGAGGTAAGAGCCTTGAAGATGAGGAGTACAGTGGCCAGCTGTTGGAAGTTGACAACAACCAACTGAGAGCAATCATTGAAGCTGATCTCTTAACAACTACACGAGAAGTTGCCAAAGAACTCAATGTCAACTATTCTACGGTCATTTGGTATTTGAATCAAATTGGAAAGGTGAAAAAGCTAGATAAGTGGGTGCCTTATGAGCTTAGCAAAAATAAAAAAAATCATTGTATTGAAGCGTCATCTTCTCTTATTCTATGCAACAGCAATGAACCATTTCTTGATGGGATTGTGACATGCGACAAAAAGTGGATATTATACCACAACTGGTGATAATCAGCTTAGTGGCTGGACCAAGAAGAAGCTCCAAAACACTTTCTACAGCCAAACTTGCACCAAAAAAAGGTCACGGTCATTGTTTGGTGGTCTGCTGCTGGTCTGATCCATTACAGCTTTCTGAATCCTGGCGAAATTATATCTGAGACGTATGCTCAGCAAATTGATGAGATGAACCAAAAACTGCAACGCCCGCAGCCGGCATCGGTCAACAGAAAGGGCCCAGTTCTTCATGACAACGCCTGACCACATGTCGCACAACCAACACTTCAAAAGTTGAACAAATTGGGCTACAAAGTTTTGCCTCATCCACCGTATTCACCTGACCTCTCACCAACCAACGCCCACTTCAAGCATCTTGACAACCTTTTGCAGGGAAAATGCTTCCACAACCAGCAGAATGCAGAAAATGCTTTCCAAGAGTTTGTTGAATCCTAAAGCACAAATTTTTACACTATAGGAATAAACAGACATTTCTTATTGGCAAAAATGTGTTGATTGTAATGGTTCCTATTTTGATTAATAAAGATGTGTTTGAGCGTAGTTATAATGGTTTAAAATTCAGAGTCAGCAACTGCAAATACTTTGCAACAATGACATATTATCTCTCCCCAGTCCAAATGGTTTATGTCAAAAAGACAGGCAGTAGCAGATGCTGGTGAGGATGTGGAAAAGGGGAACCCTCATACACTGTTGGTGGGAATGTAAATTAGCAGAGAAACTATGGAGAACAGTATAGAGGTTTCTCAAAAAACTAAAAATAGAACTATCATATGATCCAGTAATTCCACTACTGGGTATATATCCAAAATAAAGGAAATCAATATATTAAAGAGATATCTGCACTCCCATGTTTATTGCAGCATTATTCACAATAGTCAAAATATGGAATCAACCTAAGTGTGTAGGAACAGATGAATGGATAAAGAAAATGTGGTATAGATACACAATGAAACATTATTCAGCTGCAAAAAAGGCCAAAATTCTGTCATTTGCAGCAACATGGATGGAACTGGAAGTCATTACATTAAGTGAAATAAGCCAAGCACAGAAAGACAAGTAATGGAGGTTCATACTCAATGTGGGAACTAAAAAAGTTGATCTTGAGAAGATAGAGAGTAGGTTGGTGGTTACCAGATGCCAGGAAGGGTAGGGGGAAGGGAGATATGAAGATTAATTGATTAATAGATACAAATATATGGTTTAATAGAAGAAATAAGACCTAGTATTTGATAAACCATTAGGATGGCTACAATTTACAATAATTTATTGTACATTTCAAAATAGTTAGAAAAGAATAATTCAAATGTTTCTAGAATTTTAAAAAAAGTTAAGGTGATAGATATTCCAAGTATATCGATTTGATCTTTACAAATTATATGAATGTATTAAATTATTGACATGTACCCCAAAACTATGTACATCTGTTACGCATCAAGAAAAAATTGTTTCAAAACAGAGCTGTGATTAATATGTCAAAAATAGATGATAGGATGAATAATTTATAGATTCCAGAGAGCTGGCTGGAATGTATAAAAAAGAACCGAAAAGCAACCTGAAACTTAAAAAAATGAAATCACTGAAATTAAGGACTTATTAAGTAGGTTAAATAGAATACTGGAAGCTGAAGAGAGGTTTAGTGATTTAGAAGAAATGCCAGAAAGTATTTAAGCTGAAACTTGGTGAATAAAAAGAATGGAAGTACTGAGAAGATTATAGCTATATAGGCCTGGTAAAAAGTTGTATCTAATTAGAGTCCCAGAGGGAGCAGAAGAGAAAAAAATAGGACAGAACAATTTAAGTAATAAAGGCAAAAATTTCCAAAGTGAAAGACATATGGGCAAAGAAAACCACACCTAGGTATAGCACAGCAAAACTGATGAAAACCAAAGACAAAGGACAAAAAAACCCAGAAAACAGATAAATGGCAAAAGTATACATTACCTTCAAAGGTATAGCAGTAAGAATTATGGTTAACTTCTTAATGGAAATAATAAAAGACACAGAATGGAAATATATCTTCAAGATGCCAAAAGAGAACTGTCTTTCTAGAATTTTATACCCAGCAAAAAACTCTCCAGGGCCGGGCACAATGGCTCAACCCTGTAATCCCAGCTCTTTGTAAGGCTGATGCAGGCAGATTGCTTGCGCCAAGGAGTTTGAGACAAGCCTGGGCAACATGGTGAAACCCCATCTCTACAAAAAATACAAAAAATTAGCTAGGCATGGCGGTGTGTGCCTGTAGTCTCAGCTACTTGGGAGGCTGAGACAGGAGGATCACTTGACCCGGAAGGCGGAAGTTGCAGTGTTCTGAGATTGTGCCCCTGCACCACTCCACCCTGGGTGACAGAGACAGACTCTGAAAAAAGAAAGAAAGAAAGTAAGTAGTAAGAAAGAAAGAAAGAAAAAGAAATAAACAGAGAAAGAAAGAAAGAAAAAAAAGAAAGGAAGGGAAGAAAGAAAGAAAGAGAGAGAAAAAGGAAGAGGAAGGAAGGAAGGAAGGAAGGAAGGAAGGAAGGAGGGAAGATACTCCCCAAACAAGAAGGCAAAATAAAGACATTTCCAGACTAACAACAGCATGTAAAATTTTCACCAGCATATTCTCACTAAAATATATACTAACATGAGTTCTGCTGGACAAAAAAAAAGGAAAAAAAAAGATTCCAAATGGATACATAGAAATTCAGAAAGGAATGAAATATGACAGAAAGAATAAAAATGTGGGTGAATATAAATGGTTATTGATTGTAAAAAACAGTAATTATAATGTCTTCTGGGAGCTAAAACATATGTAGGACTAAAATGATTAATAATACAAAGGATGGTAATAAATAAAGTTAAAATACTTTACAGACCTAGCATTGTCCAAGAAGTGTAAATATCTGAAAAGTTATATTAGGTTGTAATAAGACCAGGCAATATATTGTATTCCTCAGCATATGCAGTAAAACACAGTAAATGAATGTATAATTAATAAACCAATAAAGGGAGGAATAGAATAATGAAGAATGCCTAATTAACTTAAATATTGTAAAGAAGAAAAAAAAGGAGCATATAACAGGAGAGACATGCAGAAAATAGAGGATAAGTATAAACACAAATATATCAGTAAGTATATTAAAAGCAATCACTCCAATTAAAAGCCAAATATTTTCAAACTGGATTAAAAGTACAACCAGATGTTGCTTAAAAGGCATATTCCTTAAATATAAGCATAGAGAAAGGTTAGAAATAAAAAAGGTAGAAAAAGATACACTATGGAAATATTAACCAAAAGAAAATTGGTATAGTTATTTTATTATTGAAGTGGAACGTGTAGCAAAATAAAATCCACCAGGAAAAGAAAATAATTCTAAATTTGATTTCACATATCTTCAAATAACTAAAGCAAAAACTAACAGAACTTAAAGGAGAAAACAAATCCATACAACCACCTCTCTCAGTTACTTATAAAGAAAAAATTAGCAAAGATATAGAAGATCTAAAGAAAACTTTTAGTAAACGTTTCTAAATTTTCATGTATATAACAGTGCACACAATGATAAGAGAATACATATTCTTTACAAGTGCATATAAATCATTTACCAGAATTGGTTGTGTGCTAGGCTATAAAGCAAGCCTCAACGAATTTAAAGAAACTAAAATCATATGAAGTACATTCTTTGACCACTATTTAATTAAGCTAGAAATCAATAACTAAAAACAACAAATATCTTTGCTTCATAGCCTAAACTAAGACTGCAACACATAAGAACTACTGGAAGTCTTCCACTGCAGAAACTGATCCAGGAATCATTTTCACATTTAAAACTGTACTAAAAAAGACATTTTATTTTTAGTTAATTACCAAAAAATTTGTGTATAATGTATTTGGAATAGCTTTTCCTAGATGAAATCATATATAAATATATTTTATGGGATTTTTTCATAGGATTGTAATCAAGGTCTTGCATTTTAAAGCTGTCAATATACATACTTGTGATCACTAATGCGTTTTATTTTTAAACTTTGTTATTGAAAAAGAGCCAGCTGGTCAACTTACTTCACCTACTTGGTTGCCACAAAAACAAAAAAACCTTAAGCAAGTCTACTAACCTTCATAGACTAACTATAGTGTCCAGTGCTAGCAGGTGCCTAGTGAGAAATACTCTGAATGTGCAGGATTGTTTTAGGTGGAGAGAGACCATCACCAATCTTCATGTCACTCTGGTGGATAAGGCAGTCTGCTGAGAAGAGTACTTCTGGCAACATGGTTTCTACGCACATTCTGAAAAATAAACCAAATGTGAAAGAAAATTAAAAAACCCCAAGGTAATGAATGTGAAAGGCTCTTCCCTCAAATCTTAAGATGACATGTATCTTCAATGTAGATGCTATAAAAAAAAAAAAGAATTAAAAAAATCTTAAGATTATATTGTTGTGGTTCAAGGTGACCAACTGAACTTAAGTACTTTTTGTCTCATCCCTTTCCAAATTCTCCTGAAGTGACAGTAGAAAGGTAAATCTAAAAATAAATTCTTAGAGGTTGAGCACCACGACTCACAATTGTAATCCCAGCACCTTTGCAGGCCGAGGCAGATGGATCACCTGAGGCCTGGAGTTTAAGACCAGGCTGTCCAATATGGAGAAACCCCATCTCCACTAAAAATACAAAAATTAGCCAGGCGTATTGGTGCATGCCTATAATCCCAATTACTCAGGAGGCTGAGGCACGAGAGTTGCTTGACCATGAGAGATGGAGGTTGTAGTGAGCCAAGATCAGCCACTGCACTCCAGCCTGGGTGACAGAGCGAGACTCTGTCTCAAGAAATATATGTGTTTATTATATATATTTATATAGTGTATATTTATTTATAATAACATATAATAAAAATATATTTTTAGAAATAGTGCAAAGTTAGAGGCATGCTACCAACATACAAGAACAGTAAGAAATTTCTGGAAAATGTAAAGCAAGATTAGGAAAGAAAGACTGAAAAAGAATTACAAGGCTGAGAATTTGCAAAACCCAAAAAGGAAAAGAAATGACGTTAAGCCTAACAAATTCTTATACTCTTTTCCTGTTTGCCATTTTACATGGAGCTATGTGAAAATTAGTCTGTCCAACCTTTCAGTTCATTAAACTGATCTTTAGTTTGTTCTTTCTACTTTTCAGTCCAACTACTGATTTTTAAAAAATCACTAATCATTTCATCTTCATGGCTTTTTTTTTCAGACATATTATCTGCTTGAATGTCACTAAAAAAATTAAGTAATTCTGAAATTTCATTTATCTCCCAAATTAATTTTGTTTTCCCAAGGGATATATTATTTTGTTTGTTAAGGTTGATGCCGCTTTGTCTGGTTCTTATGTTGTTAGCTGGAACATATTTCAAATGAAAATGTTCACCTGGCTCCAAGGGTGTAGATGATTACATGGGTTCTGGACACACTGTCAGCTGGCTTGTATGGTTGGATATCTCTTGAGTGTATATACTTCCTTCTCTTTTGGGGTCCATAAGTCAGAGGAGACTCTACCTAATCAAAGGTTCCTTTGGGAATCTCCCACATCAGATTTAGATTTTTGTATTTGTGGCTTTATCCTGTATGTAAGAAAGCCAACCGCTTTGCAAGCAGAGTGCTCGTGTAATTGTTTTACTACCCCATAATTAAATAGCTGGCTCTCCAACATAGCCTTTTCCTTCTAGTTCCCTGCAGTTGTTAACCTTGGGCTTATTTTCATGGTTCCTTTTGTTTTGTAGAATCTTTTCCTTCTCTGTGGAGTTGCAGGGTCATCTTTGTTGTAATTGGCCATCCACCTTATTCTATTTCTTTTATACCTTCCAAAAACTCACACTGCTAACGGCACTCTTCCCTGCTGTCTAAAGTTGCTATAGATTTATTATTATTTTATATTTCTTCTGTCATTTCAATGTAATTTTGGTAGGGAGAAAAAAATAAAAGCTCTCAAAATATTCAGTCAGTTTTCTGAACCCTGACCTCTCTGAAGGGTCTCCCTAAATTCCATGGGTATGAGTGGAGTCAGCTGGTCATCACAAATGGAAAAGTCTGAAAAAAACCCTCAAAAGGCCAATCTTAGGTTCTTCAATTATGATGTTATCTACAGGAGCAACTGGGGAAGTCACAAATCTTGTGACCTCTGATCCCATGATGACCTCTGAGCAGTAAGGGATTATAGAAACTATACCTACATTTTAGCAGAGTTCAGTTTCCTTCTGTAATCCTAATCTTGTGGTCTTTCAATAGTTTTACAAAGGCAGTTTAGCTTTGGAGAGCGCTATCATCACCTTGCTTTAAGGTTAAACTATAAACTAAATTCCTCCCATGGTTAGCTTGGCCTATGCCAAGGACAGAGTGAAGACAACCAGCTTATAAGGCTCGAAGCAAGATGGAGTCAACTATGTCATATTTCTCCTACTGTCATAAGTTTGTAAAGGTGGTTTCAAAAGAGGCCAGGCGCAACAGAATACACAGGAGTAAATACCAAATACTTTCATCTATATAGAGTTCAAAAACAAGCAAAACTAATCATCTATGTATTCATTGTGAGAACCGTGGTTACTTTCTGGAAAGAGGGGAGCAATAGTGACTGCGAAGGGCACAAAGAAGGGAGAACTTCTGTGGTTTTGATAACGTTTTATTTCTAGCCTTGGGTAATAGTTATACAGGTGTGATCACTTTGTAAATATTCATTAAGTTGTATTCTTGATTTGTGCTCTTTTCTCTGTGGGAATACTTCAATAAGAAGGTAAGAAAAAAGGCAGTTTTATGGATTTTCTAAAAAAGGTCTTCCTAATACTATTTCACTCATCTAGAGGTGACTCTGAATAGACACGCTTCTTCCCACTTCTCAATTTGTACTGCCACTGTAATTTCCTGATGGGTTCATCCTGACCACTTCACAGACAAAATCAATTTACTGAGATTCTGGCATTGCAGTAGAGAAAGAGTTTAACTGACGGGAACCCGGCCCACACAGGAGAACTGAAGTTATCACTCAAATATGTCTCTCCAAAGACTCAGGGGTTAGGGTTTTTATGGAGAATTTAGTGGGCAGGGGGCCAGGAAATGGGTGTTGCTGATTGGTTGGGGATGAAATCACAAGGGTGTGGAAAACAGCCCTCATGCACTGAGTCTACCTCCAGTGGGGCTGCAGGACCGGTTGAGTCATGAGTCATGGGTCCATGTGGGGACGTGGGGTCAGTCTGAAAAAATATCTTGAGAACCAATCTTAGCTTCTACATAGTGATGTTATCTACAGGAATAATTGGAAAAGTCACAAATCTTGTGACCTCTGGCCACATGAATCTTGAGCAGTAAGGGATTATAGACACTATGCCTACATTTTAGCCACATTGAAGCCCTTCCCATAATCCTATTCTTACAAAGGAGGTTTTTGGTCTCTAAGCAAGGAGAGGGTTAGATTAGGGAGGGACTATTGTCATACTCGCCTTAAACTATAAAGTAAATTCCTCCCAAGGTTAGCTTGGCCTTCGCCTAGGAATGACCAAGGATGGCTTGGAGGTCAGAAGCAAAATGGAGTCAACTATGTCAGATTTCTTTTACTACCATAATTCTGCAAAGGCAGTTTCACAACCATTTTTTAATAATTTTTGGTCATGTCAAACCTATATGATTTAAAATTTCCTTTCCTTGTCTTTTCTGTATCGCTACATTTCTGTTTTGCTTTGGAGTTGGAGAGTAGAACCCTGACAGCATCTACCAAATTTTGGGTGGGAGCTTTAATCTGAATAATTATACGTTTTTCAAACTAAGGACAACTTTCTTCTATTTTCAAAAATTATTTTTCTACCACTACCTATTTATTCCTATTTATTTGAAAGTGTGACCTCCTCAAATTCTCCTCTATATCTCTTAATTTTTCTCCCATATTTTCCAAACTGTTCTGTATTGTGGGACATTTCCTGGATTAGTAGGAAACTACTTGATTATCAGCTTGTTCTTATACTCTGAACTCTATTACATGCCTCTGAACATCATGTTTATCTCAGGTTGTACCTACTTGATTGAAGGAATAAAAAAAATAGGAAAACTATCTTCAGTTTTCAGAAGGAGTTTAACAACGCCTTTGAACAGAATTTTTAACATTTTCATTCAAATATTATGTTATTTAAACAACAAATAAAAGAATAAAAGAAAAAATAATGAAGACAATGTTCACGGATGACTTCGAGATGGATTTTAATCCTTTTCTTCTCAAATCTTGTATTAGTAGGGACATAAAGTAATTAAATTGGATTTTTAAAAACAAGGTCAAATTCTGAACATGGCATTAAAAAATCTATTTAAGGATGATGTTATTAAGGTATAAGAGGCTTTAGATGTGTCACTTTTCTGTGAACGTCTTCAAGTCAGCTTTCTCATAGAGAATTTTGGTTTTATGTCTGGCTTTACACATTTTTGGTTTTGTTTCAATGAACATATTTATGGGACTACAGCCAAGAGAGTGTGCCATTTGGGGAAGGAGGGAAAAACATTTTGGTTCCTTTTTTTTTCTTAAGGTATTTTTATTTACAGAGTGAACACAGGATGTCATCAGACTTCAAAATCTGAACAGTAGAGGTGACTTTGTCAACATCACTTTGCTCCCAAAGTCAGTAGCTTTCCAAAACAGTGCAGTTGCCAGCTGACCTCTTTAGTTACTGCCACATTTAGACATTTTCATAAAAGGCTATTGTTCACTTTATGCTGGATCATTTCATCTTTATGTATTGTTTGCCCATGGAGAATTCACTTAAAAGTTAAGGATTAATGCTCTAAAGTTATTCTATCATCAAATTGCTTTAACAGTACAGGGGAATTATTTTCACAATTACTAATAAAACAACTAAATGTAGCACAAGAATTCATCCAATACATATTTGCTAAGCATCAGTACTGAGGAACCATTGCTATCAGAATTCTGTGGGAAATAGTTTTATAACATACGACAAATTTCTACACTTAAATTTCTCATTTAAAATTGACGAGTTGATGGGTGCAGCACACCAACATGGCACAAGTATACATATGTAACAAACCTGCACATTATGCACATGTACCCTAGAACTTAAAGTATAATAATAATAATAAAAAAAAGAAAAAAATAAAATTTCATAGCTAAATACCTTGAGAAAAGTATCAAATATTCTTATATAATCCTTCAATAACAGAGTTATAATATAGGTATTTTGCTGACCTATGGAGAAGCCATATTGCAAAGAGGTTAAAGCAGAGGCATCAAAGCCGGTGTACTTGAGTGTATCC